CAGTAAAGGGAAGGGGAAGGGAAGATTGAAGACAAGCTGTGCTGCTGCATTCTGGAGGAGTTGCAGAGGCTGGATAGTCTGCATAGGAAGACCAGCCAAAAGCAAGTTGCAGTAGTCAAGCCTTAAGATGACAAGAGACTGAAATAGCACCTGGGTGGCCTCTGGAGAGAGAAAAGACAAGATCATGATGAGGACCTGTAGTTGCTGGGAAGAAGAGCAGCTCAGTCTTGCTAGGATTGAGGTTCAGGTGATGAGCTGCCATCATGAAGAGATGTTAGTCAGACATGCTGAGATGCGATTGGAAACCTGGGTGTCAGAAGGTGAGAAGGAAAGCATTAGTTGGGTGTCATCAGCATAGCAGTGATAAGAGAAGCCATGATATTATATCACCAAGAGAATGAGTGTAAAGTGAAAAGAGAAGAGGACCCAGCACTGAGACTTGTGGGACACCAGTGGAGAGCCTGCATAGAGAGGATGTGGACCCTCTCCATGTTACCTGATAAGAGTGACCCTCCAGACAGGACTTGAACCACTTTCACACAGAGCCAGTGATTCCAAGGTTGATGAGGACATCTAGAAGGATTGTATGGTTGACTATGTCAAAAGCTGCTGAGAAGTCAAGAAGAATCACAACAGATGACAGTTTGGCTGATCTTGCTGCCTGGAGCTTCTCAGTCACTGCTATAAGGGCAGTTTCTGTTGAGTGCACCAGTTTGAAGCCAGACTGGTTGGAGTCCTGGAGCTGGTTCTGAGTGAGACAGTACAGTGTATACGTTTGTGTTTGTGTTTGTTTTTTCTTTCGGTCAGCCAGTCAGAAACCAGCACTGAAACTATCACCATCAAGCCACTGAGAGTGAACAGAACCATGTGGAAAAGTTTGTGCACCCCTGGTGAAATTACATGTTTTGTTGATTGTCTGAGTGAAAATACATCAACACATCCAGCCTAATAGAACCTAATGGAGCTCAAGGTAAAAGGATCATCCTACTGAATTGGTTTAAAGTCATATATCAACCAAAACAATCATAGAAATCAGAAACACCAGCCAGTACATGACTAGAAACAAAAAAGATTAGTTCTTTGAAGAAAATTTGTGTTTTGTTAGTGACTGATTTTCAGACTTTGGGACACATTTGCTTCAAAACAATGAGATCTAACTGCTCATCATGTGGCTGTGAAGGACAGGGATGCAGCTTTAAATAAAGCTCTTTAAATAAATACAAAAGATATTTGAGTATTATTTTCAGAAGTTTGAAATTTAGGGCCACCCCTCCATAAAAAGTGCCCTACAAATGATGATTTGTATGTATTAAGCTCATTATTGTGTCTCAATACTTCATTTTTTATAGTTGTTCTCTGTGGGACTGCAGTTTGAAATTATTTGGTAGGAAACCATGATCACATAGAGATCCATGTAGATGACATACAATAAATGAGAAACACTGGGCACTTACCTACAGCATTGAGATGAGACGTCCAATCCGGGTCACGGCACCACTTGAAGAATCCAAACCCTTTCGATACCAGGGGACCCAGTCTGATGTCTGTACAAGTGAAGTTTATTTGTTGCGCTCGCAGGTACCAGACACCCAGCCAGCCCATAAGTCATTGGACTGACACAGTTTTATAGCTGGACAGATGCCAAGATTAGACCCAGCTTATATAGGACAAGTAACAGATGTGACAAACATGACCATGTAGGGGTAAACACAAAATAGGCAGCCTAAAATACAACTTCAGCACATTCACACACACTACAGAATGTATAACACAGCACATTTCACAACAATAACTTCCTTCAACTTCAGAGCTCTACAAGAACATTGATTTTCAGGAAAGCCTTTAGTTTGTATCTCCTATTATCTTATAAACTCATCCAGTGAGGCATAATGCACAGTTTTGAAGGCTTATTAGAGGTGCACGGCCTTAGATACAATTGCCAACAATTGATATGGGGTGGGGCTTAGTGAACAACTGTTTCTTTTATCATCCAATCAGAAATCTTGTAGAGAGCAGAATTACCACTCTGTAATGTCTTCTGGGTTTCTCAAATGCTAGAGGGCGCTCCCAAGCGAGTCCACAAATGAAAGGGATAAGATGGAGCATTTGAGTAAAATCATAGTTTATAAATGCTTAAACTTTTTTAATGTAAAAGAACACATTCATTTCCTGAACATAGAACAGCGTAAAAGATTGAAACACTGCTGTTATATTTCTAAGAGCTTTTGAAGTTATATAAGTTTAAAATGGCGCTTCATGTATATTCATGACATCATTAAGCAAGAACAGCCAATCAGCTGCTCCGTTCGCCAAACAATCAGCACTCAGTAGCAGTAATGTTAGCGTCCTGCTGCTCGTTTACTGTAGAAAAAAGAAAACATACAGGTGAGTTTTCTTTGCTTTTTACTGAAATACATCCATCTGCTTTCTAAAATTAAAGGAAAGTTCTGGGTGAGTGACTAGAAACTATTTTAACTTTGTTTTTAGCTGTTTAGCTCCATTCACCCATTTTTATTGAGGACTTGCTCACAGGCGCCCTTTGCAGTCACATTTTTGATATAACAGTGGAAATAGGAAGAGGCCAGGCTCCCCATAAACCAGCTCTGATCCAGTGATGTTGTGTGAAAAGATGTGGTGCCATCTCATGTCTTGGAGGAAGCACTCACAGACTGAGAGCGTCCTGCAGTTGGTGGGGTCTTTTTGTTTGCTGCAGTTAAATATATAAAGGTGCTGTATAAATAAAGCTAAAGCTGTTTTCCTCATTAATGTCGTTCTCTCTATGCAGACTGCATTCAAAATAAACCCCTTACATTTGGTGAGCAGAGAAATGATCTCACACTTAAGATGATCCTTTAAGTATTACATGTTAGTTTCATTTCTGTTGTGTTGTTATTGTTTGTTAGCATTGTGTTAATCCTTCTGTAAGTCTGATCTGTTTATCAGTGTTTGTATTTAGGGATTGGAGTTCAGTCTAATGTAGTCAGGACTGTTTTGTTTTGGTTGTAGTTACAGTGAATATTCAACAGGTCAGGATTAGTGTCTTTGCTTTGATTCCATCCAGGTTCCTCACACTTGTTTTAATTTCACACAGTTCCTGCAATATTAAGCTACAACAGTGCTTCAGTTATTTATTGTGTGTACCTACATTCCTCTGGATGGCAGCATAAACTTAACAGCAGATGATAAACCAACTCTGATGTCATTATCAGTGAGGCCTATCAGAGAGAGAGAGAGAGAGAGAGAGAGAGAGAGAGAGTTATTGGCAGAGGGTTATATATCTGAGTAGTCATGCCTATCTTGTATTTATCAGCTATATATAACAATATATCCCCATATCACTGCTGGTTTACTTCAGCACTGAATAATATTTTCAAGATTTGTAAAAAGAAATGTTTGAATGTTTCATACAAAAATTGTGATTTTTCAATTAAATGTTTAATAATAATACATTAGTTAAGCTTAGCAAGCAAGAAGGCGAAGTTTATTTCTATAGCGCTTTTTACAACAGGTGTTGTCACAAAGCAGCTTTACAAAGAAGTCAGCATTAGAGAAAGAAATCCAGGTCCAAGCCCCCATGAGCGTCGCCAGTGGTGACAGTGGCAAGGAAAAACTCCCTAAGAGAAACCAGAAGAAACCTTCAGAGGAACCAAGACTCAGAAGGGGAACTCAAACATTGTTAGTACAAAAACGGGGAAAACAGGTGGAGCAAATGATTAATTTGATTAGTTCATGCAGCAGCAGCAGCAGCAGCATCAGTAGGGTCAGGTTGTGAAGGTGAGGTTTGCACGGCGTAGTACAGCATGAAGCTCGATGATGGTCAAGCCAGTCCAGAGGGCTGGCAGCAGTGGCACCCGATCAAGGCAGAAGAGACAGCAGCATCAGACGCACAGGATGGGCAGCTGTTCAACTCGGCAAAGAAAAGAAAAAAGGAAAAACACACAGAGAGTCAGTTCTGTAATGGGTGACTGATCACTGATTACAGTGTTAGCAGAGCAGCAGAGACTCCGGCAGGTATAGAGGGGCGAGTCCATTTAGAGCTTTATAAGTCAGTAAGAGAATTTTATAATCAATGTGAAATTTAACTGGTAACCAGTGTAAGGTTGATAAAACTGGGCTGATATGGTCAAACTTTCTGGTTCTATTAAGAACTCTGGCAGCAGCGTTCTGGACCAGCTGAAGCTTGTTAAGGCTTTTGCTTGGACATCCAGCCAGCAGGGCATTACAGTAATCTAGCCTTGAAGTAATAAATGCATGAACTAACTTTTCTGCATCCTGTAGAGAAAACGCAATTCTTAATTTAGCAATATTGCGGAGATGCAGGAAGGCTGTTCTAGTAATATTAGTTATATGTGCGTTGAAGGACAGATCAGGGTCTATCATGACACCCAGGTTTTTTACAGATGAGCTTGATGCAACTGAGAAATTGTTAAGTTTAAGTTAAATTAGACAGTTTGTTTCTAGTTGCTTTTGGACCAAGAAGCAGAGCCTCTGTTTTATCTGAGTTAAGAAGGAGAAAGTTACTCGACATCCAGTCTTTTATGTCTTTTATACAGTCCTCCATCTTCCCAAGTTTAATTTTATCATCCGGATCGCTTGCTAAATATAACTGAGTGTCATCGGCATAACAGTGGAAATTTATGCTGTGTTTACTGATAATGGTGCCCAGTGGTAGCATGTATAATGTGAATAATACAGGTCCTAAAACAGAGCCTTGTGGATCACCACAAGCTTACAACTCACTGACTTTCATAAAACCAAATAACAAAATTGCAGACAGTGGGCCTGTGTTAAGTTAAACTGTGGGCTAGCCTAGTGGTGCACTGCCCATCCTAATCCATTAAGGGCCCAGAGAGGCTAGCTGATGTTGTTGGCCCAGTGCAAAGGGATCCAAAGAGGACCTGTGTCAGGTTATCTGTGGGCTGGCCCTGTGGTGTACTGCCCAAATAGAAACCCTTCAAGGCCCAGTGTGGGTGCAGTGATGTGGACCCACTTGGGCTGGTTCACAGTGGGACAATACAGGGTGATCTGTTGGCAAACTCTCTCGCCCACACAGGCATGTTTGCAGGGAACCTAGATTAGCTTTAGCACCATTAAACTATGACCCTACAATAGTGTAGCATTCTGATACTGGCTGGCGCTGACGGCTGAGGTGTTGGAGGCGTGGCTATGCAGATGACCACACACAAAGCCTCATGGTATGTGCACGCCCTCCTGAAAAGGCACGACTCATGTTGTCCATTGGTTTAGGTTGTGTGTACATGGTGTTTGTGTTATTCTGTGTTGGGGTTTTTGTGTGAAGGGTTGTAACCCTCAGGGTGAAACATGTGGCTTGTGGTGACATCGAGTTCAGTGTTCTATATGTTCCTCTTTCTGTCAGTGTGATCAGTGTGACCATGACGACCCTGTGTTTTCTTTTCTGCTGACACTAAAATAGTATCTGTGCTGTATTGTGGTTTTAGCATTAGCACTCAGACACTGAGCAGTGTTATCTGATGTGGTCTGAGAAAAAGGAAGTTCCAGTGTGAGAAATGACCCCCATGCTGTCTACAGACTACAAGAACAGTGAGGGTTAAAAGCTGAAGATGTTCTTAATGTCACTGCTGATATTCCTCTGCACTGAATTACATTTCTAAGAACTTTTGATTGATTCATAAAGAAACTGATTTTTCATTTCAATTCTTTAATCATATAAAGAAAACAAGACATTATTACTACATAAAATAGAGTTGAATAAAACTAAAGGAGGAAACTACACATGGCAGTTTGACTGCAGTACATTTTGCAGAAGCAATGACTGATTCAGCGAAACAAGCAAGAAAACAGGCAGCATATTTGAGAAAGTCAGCAACACTTTTTAACCACATGCAGTTTAAACAGTTCAAATCGTCAAAGCTCCTCCTGTTCTCTGCAGTCTGTCTTCAGCTTCAGGAAATGGACGTTGCTGAATGCAGGTTGGAGAGACTCTTATTGTTTGTGAAATGAGTTTAAAGTATTTTATTCATAGTTTAATGGGGAGAAAAATGAACTGATACATTTGTATTGTTTCTGTTATGAGTTTAGTTCTTCTTAATGAGATATTTGTCCTCTGTGATCATTTCTAATGTAAGAGAAATGCTGAGACACTCTGGTAGCTGAATGTATGTTTTATTAGATGGCTTTACTGAAATCACACAAAAGTAATTCAGTTTCAAGTTGTACATATGATGCATATTTAGCCTTGGACAAAGTTAGTCCAGGCAATTGTAAATATTTTGGAGGATGAAGTTGATTTAAACCACATTCTGTTTGATTTTGGGGAGAAAAGTAACTTCACTGAACAAAAGAAGGCTGTATGTTATACTTTACAGTGTGGATGAACATTTCATTGCAGTTGGTCACTGATAAGATCCCAACTCTATATGGTTGGCATAAGCTATTAATGGGCTTGATTCCTTTTGAGTATTTAAGTTGTGCATTACTATCTAATTCAGACCACTTCTATAGGCCTCTGAAGTCCCGTCATCTTTTTTCTATTTGGTGACAAAATGAATGGCATTTCCAGTTATCACTGCTGTCAGGTCTATGATGAACTCCAAAGCTGATATGTTCTGATTTAGGTCATGTTTTTTTCTGAATGTTGTTGGATCCTCTGAATTAAGAAGCTAACACTGCTCTACAATGAACTGATACTGATAATAAAACTGACAACCTCACCAAAATACCCCACATAAACCAGTAAGCTTTGTCAAATGTGGTCTGGGCCAGCTCTAGGCTTTTGGGGGCTCTAAGCAAGATTTTTTGGGGACCCCAGTCTTGCTAGTTGATGTACTGTAAAACTATAGTGGTAAATAATGCGTGGAAGGTTTCCCAGCCTGGATGAAGCTCACAAGCAGCTCTGCCTTCTCTGTGGGTGTTGCTATTGTGTCAGAAAGAAGAGTAGTAAGTATTGCAACCAATTCTACTGGGTGACTTTGTAGCACCTCCTCCAGCATGGTAAATCCTGGTAGTGGACAATCAAGGGGAACACTGCTTATGAGGAAAGGCATAATAATGGACTAACTAAAGCCTCATTCCTCATTCACTGTTAGTCTTCTTTATGTATTTCTTTTACACCATCTAGTTTGATCTTAACACTTCCCAGACTCCTCACACCAAGGAGTATGATGTGAGCATAGCTGGGACTGATGGTGGGGCCCGGTCACTGCTTGTCCCCCGGTAGAGACTGGCTCAAGTTTTCCTGACATTTTGAGTTCTTCAGACTCCCCACTGCTCTGTGACCCTCTTTTCCTCAGCAAAACAAAGTGCAGTCAGGGCAGTTCTGCTTAAAGCATTTGGTACAGCTACATGATTTCCCTTTTCTTTGTCCATCTTACTAGGACAGTGCTGGCTGTCTGTTTGTTGGCTCAACAATAGATTCTGGTGCAGCTCAACATGTTCGTCAAATCAACCATGTGTAGTCTGAGCTTTCTTTGCTTATATCAGTGTCTTGTGTAGATGCAACGTTGAGCTGTGTGCTGTGCATGCTTATGTCTCTGCCTCACAAATGGTCTCCAATGCTGCTGTCTCTGAATTTCCTCATTTGTTATCTTCATCATTTGTTTTAGGATGAGTTCATCGGACACTTTGCAGTCCGAGAGCAGGGGTTTAAGCTCCGGGTGAATGTTGTCATGCTTATACTGAAAGCCCTGGTGAACAGTATGATGAAAAACTATTGTGGACTGTGCTCTATATTTTACATCTGTGTCAGTATATTTAGAAGAGAACAAGATCTTTTGTTTGAGCTCTATCACTCAGTATAGAACTGTTGTGGCATTTCACTGTCATGTTGATTAGAGCACATGAGCCAGACCTGATAGCTCTGAGACCACCTCTCACTATTTCAGCATCACTGAAATTTGCGCACATATGTTGCTGTAGCTCATATCTGAGCTCTGGTCACTGATCTGTCTACCTTCAGTCTTAAACTCTCAATGCTGGAGCAATGAAAGATCCCAAAGGGGGAGCATGATATCATGTGTTATGTTTGATAATGTTAGCTGAACAGCTGCTGTGGGCATCATTGGGCTGAGATGCAGGCTGTGATGGTGAAGGTGATGGAAGTGTGGGTGGTGAGGTGGGGCTGATCATGTACTGTAAACCTTCTTAGTAAGTACAGCATAACTAGAAAGCATTTTCTGTAGATCTGTGTCAGTGTCAGGTGGAGCTTTGACAGGAGTAGCTGTGGTTGGACTAGATTAGTAGCTGATGAAGGATTAGCTAGTTGTGGCTGTGTGGCTGTGTGAGGAACACTAATAACTATACTATCAGCATCTACATTAACATGACCTCCTGTAACAATAAGTGCATTATGCAGATCAACCCAACCATCTACACCAGCTTTGGAGTGAAAGATGCTATCAATGACATCATTTAACTCTAACAACTGGGCCATTCCTGCATCCTCAGACTCTAACAAAGTCTTACTGTACATGAAATCTTGAATGTGCTTAATTCAGCTTTCCTCCTCGTCCATCTCAAGCATGGTCAGATCCTTCCCTGCCACTGGACTGACAATTTTTGCAAGTTGGAAATGTTCCTCAGCCATAAGCATGAACAGATTATTCCTGATGGTCTAAGCTTTTTGCCTCATTGTCCACCATGACCTTTTCCTTTTTCTTCACACTCGGTCCCCAGTCCAGGAGACTATTTCATGCAAGAAAAGGTGTTGGATCCTTGCTGTCCAGTAAAATCAACATTAAATAGAACTAGTATTATAATGTTGCCACCCACGATGCTTGATACATTACCAGCATACATTACTGCAGAAGTTGAGGCTTTGTGTCAAACTTACAGTTTTTAAAAACGTTAATCTTACTAGGATGTGTACAGTCACATCTGCCACCAAAACTCCTTTTAAATGGGCTGTGATATCCTCAGGTTGAAAAGTAAACAGCTTCTTCACTTCTCAGTCATGTAAATACACTCCTACCACGTTTTCTCTTTGCAAAGATGGAAAACTTCACCATAAAAACAACAAAACGCCACAGAGGAGTTCTGCTTCACCAGCAGTGCTGCATTACTTTTATACAGTAGCAGCATGAACAGATGGACAAGGGTCAGATTTTGTCAATTAAGCAGTGTGTCATAGAATTACATACAAAATACACTTCAATGACTTTAAAGTATAAAATGTCTGTCACAAGAGTGATTTCTGTAAATGACTGTAGAAGCATTGGCAGTGAAGGTGTACAGGACGGTAAAGTACAGCAAAGTGATGCAGCATCGGAGGTGAACCAGTATAGGACGGTAAAATACTGCTGGTCTGAATGAAACATAATTCTTCCTTTTCCTGTTTGTGCTGATGAGGATATGATTACATTCTTACTGTATATGATCACACAGGCTGAACTGCTGATCTCACTCAGAATGTCTCTGACTGTTTCTCTGCTGTTTCTGCTCTTCATCTCTGGTGAGTCAGAGCTGTTACTTCTCACTGAACTCTGTACAGTTATGAGTTTATTTTTATATATAATACTCTGGTCACTTGTGCTGCCCCACCCCTCCACACACTCACACACACTCCACCTCACTACAAGACCGACTGTGGATTTGTCACATTGTGCTTTTTGTGCAGCTGATCATTCAAACTCAGCTGAAATGAACAGTCTTAGAAATGAGCTGAAGTGGAGACTTTATGCAGCATTTTTACTGACTGAGACCCAAACAGTAATAATTTACACATCTCTGTATTTTGTGTTGCAGGAGTTGTTGCTCAGGATGGGTGGGCTGTGAATTACAATCATAAATCTATCTGTGCTCTAAAGGGGTCTACAGTGACCATTGAGTGCACTTACACATATCCAAGTGGTCACTCAGTCCAAAAAGCTTTCTGGACCAAACAGTGGGGTCAAGGTTCAGAGCCTCCTGATCTGTTAGATGATCCAGAGTACAGAGGCAGAGTTCAGTACCTCGGAGATAAACAACACAGCTGCAATCTCAGACTGAGTGATGTGACAGAAGAGGATCAAAGTAAATACTACTTCAGATTTATAACAGACCAACCTGGAGGAAGTTGGCAAGGTGCAGGTGGAGTTGATCTTTCAGTCACAGGTAAGATCCATCAGCAGAAATAAGACACTGTACTTCATTCACTGGTGTTCAGCAGGGATATTTAACTAACACTGAAAGTCCAATTACTTCAGATGTCTTGCCCTTCAACTAAACTATTAGTAGTCCAGACAACTAATAAAATAAAATTAGACCCATCAATATACATTCTGTTATGACCTCACATTGTGCCTAGAGCACAGTGGGATCAGTAACACGGATAAAGGCACGAGGAACAGATAAAAGAGCTCATGAAACTGTTTAAAAACCCGACAACAATAAAAATGTTGTGCTACAAAATCCAGAACCACACTGGAAGAACCAAACTGTGGACAGCACCAAAGTACAAAACCTCACCCACAACCTCTGACCCAGGAACTAGACAGAGTAGACTTCTATGTGGTGCAAATGTTTAGGCACACCCCTCTGACCTGGAGCTCTTGTAAGCTTAGGTTGGGGGTTCATGCTGGCAGAGACAATGTCTCCTGTAAACAAAGTTAGTGCTGGTAAAACACTCAAAAAACATTTTGTGCTTATATGTAACAGTTTGGATAAACTGTTACATTTTGAACATAATTTTATAGTCAACTCAGCCTTTTAAGGCTGGATGACCATTCACTATTGTATTTAAAAAAAATAAATAAATAAATAATAAAAAAAAACTTTACAAAACCTTTGAAAATATTTGTCCATGAAAGAAATAAAAATCCTTTTTTTCATGAAGTAAAATAAAGGAAATTGAACATACAGTTCAGTAAACAGAGATTAATGTGTGAAATGTAAGTTGTTAGTTGAAATACATTCATGATGTTGGTGTTTAAAATATCTGTCATTCATTTTTCACATCTACCTCATGAATCATCAAATGGTGGTGTGGAGCTGTTCTAGTATCAGGTATCATTCTACTGCAGTAGCTTAGCATCACATACAGCTTCAGCACAGCACAGGTTCATTCCAGATCACTGAAGCTTCACTGATACAAGTTTAGAGGATAAAGACTGTGTCGAGTGTTGAGTGTGGAGCTGTTAGCTTAACCTACTTTTAATTCATATCCTTGTTAGCACTAGATGCTAACTTTAGCTTAATGAGAAGGCTAAACCACCAGCAATTCTGACTCGCTGACGCTGCACTGAGGTAAATTTAGAGGATAAAGACTCAAATCTGAGTGAGTGAAGTCGAGAGACTGAAAGACTCAGTATTACTGATTATTAAAGTTACAGTTAGAGCTTATTTTGGTTTCTGCTCAGTCTCATCTGTTAAGTCTGTAACAGAGACAGACTGCAGGGTAATTGAGGAAAGATGGGCTTTTATTCAACATAAATATATTTTTATTTGTGTTGTAAATACTTACTTTAGCACATGTGACTGGATAAAACAGAAGACCTCAACAGAAGCCATGTTGCTTCATGTTCATGTGCATCAAATAAAACCATTGTTTAAATATGTTAATCAGCTTTGCTACAGAATTTTGTAAAAGTGCTCAGTTTGGTCAGCTGAAATACTTGGTGACCCCTGCTGTACAAGATTCCTCCAACAGTTCTAAAATATATTACATCCAGCAAACTAAAACATACGTGTAAAAGAAATCAGTACTTATTTATTCTCCCTTAAAGAACCAAGAAATGTTTGGGAATTATTCATTCTGAGTCTTTGGAAAAATGTATTATAAATCTGTAACAACAGTAAACTTCATATGCTAAAGTGAATGATGTTCTGCAATAAAACATAAAGTACTTCTACAGGACATTTATAGTTTGATTAATCAAACAGAAAAGCACCTCCATTGAATGCAATGTGTTGTTCTACCTCTAGATGGCCCAAAGAGCGTCTCAGTGTCCATCAGTCCTTCTGGTGAAATAGTGGAGGGCAGTTCAGTGACTCTGACCTGCAGCAGTGATGCAGAATCACCTGTGCAGAGCTACACCTGGTTTAAAGGATCATCATTAGTAGCAAAAGGAGAGACTTACACAGTGAACAAGATCAGCTCTGTGGACAGTGGAGAATACAAGTGCAGATCCAGTAATGAACATGGAGAGAAACTCTCTGAAGCTCTAACTCTGAATGTTTTGTGTAAGTTTGTGTTTATTTGTTCTAGTTGTACATTATTTTGTAGAAGTTCTCTTTTATAAACATTTAATGTCATGTAATGATTACATCATGAAGTTCTTCTGTGATTTCTAGATCCCCCAAAGAGCATCTCGGTGTCCATCAGTCCTTCTGGTGAAATAGTGGAGGGCAGTTCAGTGAATCTGACCTGCAGCAGTGATGCAAACCCACCTGTGAAGAACTACACCTGGTTTAAGAAGCTGAATAAAGGAGCTCTGCAGAACTCAAAAAGACAAACCTACAGCATCTCATACATCAACTCTGCAGATAGTGGGGAATATCAGTGCATGGCAACCAACACACAAGGGTCTCAATACTCAGAGTACAAGTCATTAACAGTTTTATGTAAGGTCATTTTCTGCTCGGCTAGAATTTAAAAAAATGAAATCATCTCACATCATCTCTGTATTTAAAGATGCTCTACTGTTTTCTTCTTTTCTAGATGCTCCAAATAAAGTCTGGGTGTCCATCAGTGAAACAGCAGAGGGCAGTTCAGTGACTCTGACCTGCAGCAGTGATGCAAACCCACCTGTGCAGAACTACACCTGGTTTAAAGAAGGTGGAAGCTCACCTGTAGGATCTGGACACAGTTACAGGGCTCTACAGAGTGGATCCTACTACTGTGTGGCTCAGAATGAATACAGATCTCAGAAATCAGCTGCAGTGACTGTCACTGAAAAAGGTATTAGTGATGGAAAATACAACCTGAATAACACTTAATAACATTCATAAAAATTAGCATAACTTTAAATTTTAACATTCATCTGCACACAGGAGTTGGGAAGTCAGCTCTATATGCAGTTATTGGAGTCATAGCTGTACGTTTATCTGTTTTCTTTGCTGTATTTTATGTAAGGTAAGCAAGTTATCACTGGAATCAGTTTTTGTAGATGTATCAGTGAAAAATATTTATGTTCCAATTTTTGCACAATATTATTGTTAATATTAATATTAGTGCTTTTTATACTGTTACTTTTCAGGAGAAAGAGAAGAGTCAATTCAGCTGATGATGCAAACCAAAAACAGGCAAGTCAGTTACTACACAAAAACATGTTTAGTAGTATGAGATTTAGTGACATCTTTACTTTTGTTTTAGCTCTGGGCTTCATAACTACAGAGCAGTTTAAGCTACAGACATGGTACACATATCAGATCATTCTGCAGGCCTGGCCCAAACTATTGAGCATGACCTCATCGAGCTGTGATGTCAGCATCAAGAGTAATTTGGCCCGGAAAAACACAAAAATCCTGAATTTACTTTGCTTTTAGCCTTCATATTCCAACAAAGGGTTAAAACAGTGACATGAATAACACATCAGATCACTCATCAGACTCTCCCCTCACCATCCATGATTTCATCCACCTGTGACCGTCCATCAGCCAGCACTCCAGATCCAAAATCACCCAGAACCCACTCACTATTGTTATATCTCTGCTTTTAGCCTTCATATTATGAACAAAGGGTTAAAAATAGCGACATCTCACACATCAGAACACTCAGAGGAACCGGCCATCACCAGCCAGAGTGAAAGACACCAGCTCTTACATCCCACAACCCAGAAATACAGCACAAACACACAGCCAGATCACTGTAAAGCCTGCTATTAGCTCTCTGCTTTAGCCTTTATATGGTAACAAAAGACTTCAAACATCACAGCTCAGCCGGACTTACCCTGAGTCCAGAGTGACTATCTGAAGTTTCAGTGATGATCCAGTCAGTAATCCATTTGAGAAAACCACCGTTTAGATCCTGCGTTTACCTCCATTTAAATGACCAATTTAAAGTATGCAGTAATCAGAATAGAATTTCTGATAATCAGACATTTACAGCTAAATACAACCACATATATATAATCTTGTTTCTTAAATAGCGATGATGTGAAGATGATGAAGACGTCTCCGCTGACACCGTCTTGCTTGTATAAGATGTTTATTACAAAGTAAAACAGTATCAGATCAAGCACCATAAAGTACCTGAGAGGGGATCTGTGCCAATTCTGAAGTGTCCCCTACCGAGCAGTATGACCTACTTGCTTATATAGGGTGGTTGTTATGGAAAAAAGAGACGGACCATATGGTCCTTCTTAGAATAGTCTCATTCATCTGGAACTAAAGTGGAAAGGGACCTTTGGAACTTGAATCAGGGGCCCCCTCACTTAAACGTTCCATTCCTGCAATGTCAGATTACACCGGAAGCTCCAGATACAACATATCCCCCCCTTTGAGACTGCGCAGGGTCTCGACAAACAAAAAAACACACACATTTGCAGTTGTAACAAAATAACAGTTCCTCCTACACATGCTTCCTACAGCGTAACCTTAGCAATACAACAACTTTCTGGAGTGTGAGAGCGAAAAACCTGTCAGGCAGCTATCTTTCCTGAAATGTCCATCAAACAATCTAGACAGGAAAAATTCTCTCACGGTCCCTCTGCCCTAGGCGACCACATAGAGTACTCCAGCCCAATGTAAAAAGGAGGAATTTTGACAAGTCGTGTGAGGACATGACTTAAGGAAATAGATATGGAAACCTCAGAAAATAAAATCAAAACCATGTTGGTCGACCCATCGGACCTTCCAATGGACCTTTCCCTGCCTAACACCAATATCCCTAAGCACCGAAAAAAGAAAAAAACTTCTGCGGTCCCAATGTACTTACCCAATAACAGAAAACATCAGTCTTCAAGCAATTAAACAAAGAAAGTGTTATAAATTTAAGTACTACTCATGCAATAAACAACCCAAACACTCAATCCAACTATTATGTCTTACTAAGATTATTACTACATTATAAATGTCCTGTATCAGTATCACACATTACAATATAATAAAACAAAATCCAATACTATGCAAATATATATATATGAGAAGACATAAAATGTATCACACTGCAGCTCCTCAGCAGCGTCGACTCTCAGTGTAGTGTCGATGATGTGTTGACTCTGGGCATTGCATCACATCATCATCACACTCTATAGTAAGAGACCACTAAATACCAAAATGATAACAGAAATATATGTCAAGACTATAATAAGAGTAGATATTCAAAATGGATATTTCTCCATCAGTTCGCCTTCTATCACCACTTCCTCATCATCGTCTGTATCAGTCCTATGTAGTAATGGCATCTGAGCTTGATCTCCAGGCATCACAACTCCAATCCATCTTAATATCATAGCCTTCGCAAAGGTCAACAACAACGTACAGAAACAGAACATCACACTCAATGATATAAGAACTGCTACCATTATCTGACCCAACGGTCCTAATTTCTCCTGCAACCAAGCATTCGCAGACCATCCAGCTCTTTCTGATGGGCCAAACGCATCCCTTATATGCTTCAATGCATCTATGACACTAGTCATATTGTTTATCAGTCTATGACTCTTTTGAGTATTTGACAAGTATTCAAAACTTCTTATAGTCTCATTTGCAAAACCCTGTAGGGTGTAGGTAACATTGTCAATGTGATCTGCCAAAAATGTCACACCATACCATGGAAACAATCCTATACCCCACTTCTCTCCTAGACTTATCCTCCAATGATAGGACTTCAGATTATGAAATTGTGCCAGTTTCTCTTTTCTTCCTACTTCCAGAAATAGCATCAGATTGAACCTCATCAGATACTTTTCCCTTCTGGACAGTAAAAACCTCATGTGGAAGCTTCAACATTGCCATATAACAGCAACCTATCCACCCATATGATAGAAATATATATATGCCTTATCACCACAAACCCACCAAATATCCTTAAAATTTCCTATAGTCACATTTCCAGGCAACGTTCGGTTCCACACCATCAAAATGCTACTCAGTTTGCGTTGTAGTACTTGAAAAGTCACTTTATACAAATCATCCATAGCCTTATGTTTATGCTCGCCCAAGCCCATAATATAGTTGTTACAGTCTGATATTCCCACAAACTTTCCAGGCCCATTATGAGTATCATCTGAACAAAAACAATCTTTAGCCCCCACAGATTTCACTTCCAACGGATCAGGGCTCGCTGTTATCATATTTTCATGCTGATCAAGTAAATTCACATATGATAACTCCCTCAACCAAGAACAACTATGTTTAGGTCTAAATAGATGCACTGACAGAGCCATTACCTTGTCTTCTGCTGAGTGCTACTGATATAACAGCCACGATAATGCATAAGATTGACATTTAACACTTACTGGTTCTGGTACCGTCTCTAAAATTGAAGGCCATGTTCCTGGTGTTGGAACTTTCACCACACATGGACAATTCAGTTTCCTAACCGATCTTACAGAATGAGTTAACTGCTGGAACCATAAGTTCCTACCTGCCCATGGTTCTGTGATTTGTAACACAGAGGAATCAAATCCATATGCCTTCCACTTAGTTTTTCTCTTCTGTAATACACGATAATGGTCAGTCACGTCTTCTAGTGTCCAGTCAAAGTCAAAAAACTCATCTTCCATGTCTAAAATAGTCCTCTGCACTGTAATTGTTTCCGGAGCTAAAGTGGTAAGCTTCATCAATGCAATATTCACCCTTGGAGTGGTTGCTGTGGTGAATCGTTCCTGAACCCTTTTAGTAACCATGAAAACTCCAGTAGAACTCAGCTTGTCATTATACAAAAGATACTTCCTCTGATCACGAGGCAGAGTATAAACTTCAGGTCCTGTTAACAACACATCTTCACCATGACTATTTTTCCACTTGGTGGATTATTGCCACCAACATTAAATCTTCCACATTGACAGGGGAGATAAACCACTCTTCCTAACTTAGCTCTGATGAGATTCTTCAAAGGAGTTGACGTCATCAAAATCATCTGAGGTGCCAACGTAGTTAAATGTGACACATTTATACCTCCAGTAACCTTCAATGCTAAAAGAGTAGAATTTCCTGAGGTCACTTCAACCCTAGTCCTTGTAAGGAATCTTGACTCTGTAAGCGTGGCGCCTCTTCTCTTGGCGCTTTGACACAATGCAATAAATGATATCACGTTGGAGACCCTTTAATCTGGACCACTGTTCCAGTACTGCGAACAACTTCAAATGGTCCTTCGCAGCGTTCGTTATACCACTTCCTTCTAAACACCTTCACGAACACCTTGTCTCCAGGTTGCACTGTGCTCCTCTTTTGCTCATCGAGCCTCGCCTGCACTTTGTCTTTTCTTTGCCTGTCAGAAACATACGTTTATATTCTTTTATATAAATTAGCCATATACGTAACGTACGCTCGCATTTCATCTTCCAAAAGGGCTAAACTTGGACCCTTTCCACTTGTACGCAGACAAGGCGTTGGCATTCGCCTTCCCATAACCAACTCATGAGGTGTCATATGCAAATCACGCAGCTCACTTGAGTGACACACCATTAGTGCCAGCGGAAGTGATGCTATCCAATTTAAGCCTGTGTGCTGGCAGATTTTAACAATGCGATTTTTCAAAACACCATTCATTTTTTCACAAATCCCTTGGCTTTGCGGATGATAACCTGCACCAAGACGCTGATTAATTCCCAATTTTTGCAAAATCAATTTCATCATCTTATCCACAAGCTCTTTCCCATTATCTGAGGATATCTGATCTGGAAGTCTCCACCTGCTTATGACCTCTCTACACAGAAACTTGACAACCGACTGATCGTCCTTCCGCTTGGTCGGACAAGCCTCAGGCCATCGCGAAAATCTATCCACAACGACTAGCACATATCTCTTACCTTCAACTGGTTGTATCAAGTCCACAACTAACTCACGCATAGGACCCCTCGGAGTTGGAATGTGACCAGGAGGAACCATCACACCCCTTCAAACATTATTTTTCAAGAAGATAGTGCACCTGCCTATAACATAATCAATCTGTTCAAGCAAGCATGGTGTCCAAAAACCATACTCCTTTGTAATCTTTTTCCTAACTTCCCTCCTTGCAACATGAGCTAACCCATGTGCCTCCTGAATCATCAGACCTCACACCATGTCAGCACTGACCTGGCTGCTTATGACCTCTTTCTCCTCTCTCTCTCTCTCTTTCTGTCTTTCTCTGTCTTTCTCCTCTCCAATTCTCACACACCATAGGTGGATAAAGGAGAAAACAGATTAAATATCAAATGAACCCACTAGGCATTTTTAACAACACAATAAGCAATTCAATATGATTCACGCACGTTATTTGCCAACGCTTAAGTTTTTTTTTATCTACAACAAATGTTTTCCTCCTTTAAACTCCAAGTTATCATCAATAAAGACATTTCAGTTTATTTCACTCTAATAACACCTTAAATACTTATTAAATTTTTCTTTACCCATACACACAAACATCCTCACTGGTCTCTCCACTTCTCTCCAAAGCCAATGTCCTTCTTGGGGGCTCATACAATTTACCCTACAAATGTCCCCTCATAAATCTTATCAAAGTCCCCTCGAAAGAGACTCATAAGTTTTATGTAATTTCATAAAGTCCTCTTTTCTGAGGCTCATACATCTTATCAGATCTGAAAATGTCCCCCAAGAAAGGCTCATATATGTTAACAAAATAAAAAAAAAAAGTCCTCTCAAAGAGGCTCATATGTTTTTACATGTAATTATTCATGCTTAAAGCCACTCACTCAGCTGGAACACAGCCACAACACACACACACACACACACACACACACACACACACACACAGAGAAAGCACCTTCACACACACACAGAAACCAACTCCGCACACACATAGTAAGGGGGGGGGCAATCCCCCTCACACAGAAACACACAGCTAGGTCAGAGAACACAGAAGACACAAACAACACTCAATCCTATAACACGCTTTTTCTCTTTTTCTTCTAAATTTTTGCTACGTTGATGAGGTGTGAATATTTAATAAAAAGCTGCTTCAGACACTGTTCGTCAACTAGTGTTCGAGTGGGAACTTTACAATTGAATTTTCCATTCCACACCTCCAGTTCCTTAGAACTGACCCGAAATTCACCTAGTGATTTCCCAGGATTTTAGTCCTGTCTAAAACCACCTCCCAGAGGGCTTTGGTCCAAATCTACGGCTTCTTTCTCTTTAACTCTTCTCTTCTCTATTTCCTTTCTTCTTTTCCCATTAATCTAACTTCCCATTAATCTAATTTCCCCTGGGCTGTTACTTTTCACTTTTTTCCTTTTTAACCTAATCTGACTATTTCTTCAAACCAACTTTCACACAGTGACTAATATACACGTCTTACCGTTAAGAAGATAAGGGCCCAACCTTCATTAATCTCGCATGGTGTTACTTAGCTCACCTTATCATTACTAATTAGGCTATTCTACACTTTTACATCATCTTTCCTTTTCCCTATTATACTCCACCCCCCCCCCATTGCGGCGTGCACAATGCAATAGAACCCAAATTTACAACAGAGAAGTACTCCAAACATCAACACAGCATGGCACACAGACACACATGATTCTTTACAGTGCGACTAGACAGCAAACACCCAACAGCCCCAGTGAACGTACTAGTGCACAATCATGTGAAAAACCTCACCTCAAATGCCGGCTAGGTGCGGGAATAAGTGCGCTAAGGCTGTCGGCGACGCAGCCAGCCACAACACGACCGGAGTTCGTGACGTCAAATTCTTGTTGTTCTTAGAAAAGTCTCATTCATCTGGAACTAAAGTGGAAAGGGACCTTTGGACCTTGAACCAGGGGCCCCTCACTTAAACATTCCAATCCTGCAATGTCAGATTACACCTGAAGCTCCAGATACCACAATAACCACACAGATACCACAATAACCACACAAAACTTGACCATAACATAGAAACATGACAGCAAACACTAGTCACATGCTACATGCCTGTATCAGTGCTGAGAGAGTTCAGGGTTAAGGGCAGAAAAACATGACGGAAGCATTATCTCAATCCAGTGAGTCGACCTTACAAATGAATAAAATCTATGATCTGTTCTTGATGTTTATCAGTGAGAACTCAAACTGCTTATGTTCTCTAACTCTCTTCTCTCCAGAATGTTGACCCTAATGCTAAGGACGACACGTACACAGCTCTTGACCCCGTGTCCAGGTCCTCTGATGATGTGTACAACACACTCACAGTAAGTGTCTCTTCAGAAACTCAGTTCAGTCAGACGTTCAGATTTATAAAGAATTCCTACAAAGTCCACATTTCTTCATTTCTCCTCCTCTGCTTCATTCTCTCTTTCCCTCACACAGACTGTTCATTCCAGTCCTTCTGATGATCTGTACTCAGCTCTGGATCCTCAGTCTCGCTCTCCTGAGTACGACACTCTAGCAGTGAGTGAATCCACTTGTACTGATGAGTGTTTTGTAGCTGCTGGAACTGATAGACTTTAATCTACAGCAGCGTCTCCACTTTGGAGTCTCCTTCACACCTTCATCATCTGTGGAGTTTGAACTGAGACGGATCTGTTTTCTTTGGTCTCCTGATGTCGTCTTTTATCTGTTATTCTGTGTTAAGGTTGTTCTCAGCTAGTGACATCACTGGATCACTGGAAAGCACTTATTATTATTATTATTATTATTATTATTATTATTATACATTGTCCCCCAAATTTATCCCCAATTATTTTGATCATATCCAACAGCCACTAGTTAGAACTCCCCCAGTCACATGATACCACCAGCACTAGGAGGGTGAAAGCTTACACAGGCTTCCTCTGAGACCTGTGAAGAGCCGTCGTATCTTTTTGAACTGCCGCTGATGAATCACTGGACAGCTGAATGTGCTCAGAGGAAAGCGCCAACTGCCAGCTCTGCTAGACCAGCTAACAAATACCTGTAGTGACTAGCATCACACTGGGTCATGGGGGGAGATGGGGGGGCATCCTACTCACCCAGAGAGAGCGAGGCCGATTGTGCTGTCTTGGACTCCCAGCCACGGATGGCTGTAGTATCACCAGGGATTTAGCCCACAATCCCCTGATGATGGGGCCAATGCATCCAAAATCTCAGAAAGGTGTAGAAAAAATCTGTACAGTAAACATTTTCAGATTATAGACAAAACACAGTGATCTATCTGCAGCCTATTAGCGCTACAAAGTGTACAGATACAGTCATGTGCAAAAGTTTGAACCCTCCCAGTCAAACGACATGTTTAGGTGATTTTCTAAGGGAACAAAACTAAATATGGCGTTTTTCTTTTTTTCTTGAGTCTCTGACCCTTTAGTCTCAAAATGAATGAACTGTTTATCTCTTCCATTATCGCCCAGTGATGCTGTGTCTCAGAGGAAGCAGGTGCTGGTACTCCCCCTCACAGACCGTAGAGTCCTGTGATTGGGAGACCTAGTTAGGGGGAGGAGACTGAGAGTGTTAAATTAGTGGATCATTTTAGAACGAATCATTTACAAACATTAAGAACAGCTTACAGATGATAAATGACTCACCAAGTAGAAAAGATCTGTTCTCAGCCTTAATCAGACTAGTTCTCTGACATGTTACTGAATAATGTTGATTATGGTCAAATATATCTGAAGAATCTTTAATATATATTTACATTTTGTTTTTTAAACATAATTGTGTGGCTGAAGGAGTGAAACTGTTCTTTGTGTGTAATAGAGATACATTTTATTAGTTTTTTTGTCTTCCACATTGTTTCATTTCATCATTTATTATCATTTTATCTTATTTTTTATTAGCAGATCTTTTTTATGTTTGCTGCAGTGTGATGTATGAAAACTGCTGTGTAAATGAAGCTGTTGCTGGGTTTATTTTACAGATCTTACTGTTTCAGAACTGAAGATCATTTAGGTTCAGTTTGGAAAACGATGCAAGCGTTCATGTTCTTCTGTTTGAGCATCATTATCTTTATCTCTGCTTCTTCCAGACATCAGTAATGACATGTTCTCTATGCAGGTCTCAATGAAAAAGAACGCTGTTCAGTTCTTAAAGGTTCTTCCATTTGGTGACTAAACAGACTAAAGAGAAAAATCTGTATGAATGAACTGAAAACAGATCTGTGGCACTCAGGATGTTGATTTAAGTGTGTTTAACCATTTACTACTAAATGCTCGTTACACATTCATAATATTTCAGTATTCTGAGTTTGGAGTTAGCTCAGTTTAATGAAGTCAGGATTATTATCCTTCATTTCAGTTGTAGTTACAGACCGAATTGGACAGAATTCTTTGAAAAAGTAGTGATGGCTGAATACTGTCCTAAATACACTGTCCTAAATGTGTCCAGTAATGTATTCCATTACAATACATAACTAACATGTACAGAGTAGATTTAGGGTACATGTATACATTTAGAGTACATACTGATTAGGCACAGGGGAAACACTCTTCACACTATTCCTCATATAATGTTTCTGTTAATAAGCTTCATGAAATTTTCACCTATTAAAAAGAAATGACAAAATACTCAACATTATTTTGGCTTTTATCACCTGGTTCAGTCCATAATCCCACTGCTGTCTCATGAACTAAGTAAACAATTCCCAATATCCCAATAAAAAATCTTGAACATTTGACTGGGAGTGTGATTTTGAGTTAATGTTGTATGTAACTTACCTCGAAACGCAACACAAACCAAACCAAAGGCTTTGTGAAATGTTAACCACTGCAGTTTACGGTGTCGGTGAATCAGTGCAGTAAAATATTTTACAATGAATACTTAACTCAGTGCTCAGTTAAGTGCTGTATAAAGAGATGAGTCTTCAGTCTGTGTTTGAAGACCGTGAGGAGTTGATGCTTGTCTTTCATGCATCTTGAAGGATGGTGGATCAAGCCGAGCTGTACTTGAAGCTGGAAGGCCTTGAGGTACAGTTTGAGTTTTGACCATTGCCGTTACGTGGGGAGGGGCTGGTCCAAATTTG